TAGTTTCTGCTTCATTATTTAATTTTATTTCTGATTTATTTGCTAGAATTCACAATTCTGATATAGCATTTGGAGGTGTCTGTATAATAGTTGCAAGTGATTTGACATAACTTTTACTAGTAAAAGGTAAAGCTATATTTTATTCATCAGTATAGCAATTATTTCATCCTTTATTTTTGTACAAATCTTAAAGACATAATGAAGATAATGAATTTTATAAAATATTAGAAGAAATTAAATTTGGAAAAATATTAAATACAACCTAGATAAAACTTATAGAAAAAGCTACAAATTATAATAATAATCAATCTTCAGATTCATTATTAATAATACATACTATTAGATATTGTGAAATATTAAAACAAATCAACAACACAATTTGCAACCTACTTTCAATTAATAATAAAAAATATTTATTAACAGAAGCTATAAATTTTATAGAAGATAAACAAGTATCATCAGAACTTATTCAAACAGAATTTAAAACAAAAACAAATATATCACTAACAGTTAGATTCCAACAAGATACACAAGTTATGTATCTAAATAACTCATTAATATAAGAAGGTATATATAATGAAACTATTAGTGTAATCATTAATATAGATATACAACAACTAAGTGTACAAATAGCATTTTGTATACATTATGCAATTATTCAAAAATGGATTACAAGAGGAACATTCTACTTTTATTCAAGAGGTCAACATGCATCTAGAACACAGTTTTCATTACAAAACTCATTTTCTTTAACAGTTCATAAAACACAGGGTTTTACTTTACATTCCATTTCAATAGATCTTAGCCAACTATTTATATCTAACCAAGCATATACAACAATCAGCAGATGTTTAAAATGGCAACATGTTTAAATAATAAATTTAAATAAAAATTCATTTATAATAGATTCAAATGCAATTAAAAAATATTCTCATCTAAAACAAAAAGTATCACAATCACTTCCAATTTAATAAAATATTATATTCTATACATATGCAATATATATTCTAAAAAATTTAATGAAGATACTTATAAATATTAAATAAATTATATATATTACTTTCAAATATTAATTAAGGCTGACTCCTAACTAGCTATGATCAAAAATCTAGTTAAAAAATATAACAAATATAATAGTAACTGATAATAGGCAAATATGAAAAAAGTAATAAAAGAAATGAATGAAATTACTTTAAATATAAAGTAACAACCATATGTTATACACATATTACAGTTAGTAGTAAAAAAAGGGTTAAATTTATTAAACTATTAGTTTTAAGAGCAAAAAAATTGATTGAATTTTTTTTTAAAACCAAAACAAAATCAAAGATTAGAGAAAATTTAAAAAAAATCACAAAATAAAGTTAATGTGATAAGATTTTAATTTTATAATTTATGTTTATTAATTATTCAAATTATTTTTATATTTATATAATAATTTTTATAATATTTAGAATACTGGTAAAACTAGTAAATATTTTTTTCAAATAATTGCAGATATTTCAACCAGATGGAATTTAAGTTATTATGCTTGGAATAGGTTAATAAATGCTAATTATAAAATTAGTAAATAATGAAAATACTGATGCAAAAAAAGATGAAAAGCAACTTGAAAAAATTATATTAAGTTCTGATGAATGGGACTTTTACAAGAATTAGTTATAATACTTAGTCTATTTGAAGAAACAAGTGGTTATCTTGGTAAAGAAAAATATATTACACATAGTATTATGAATCTAATAATTGAACAAATTAAATATTTATTACTTTTATCATTATCTAATTCACCTAATTCATCTATATCTACATTACTTACATCACTTATATTATCTGTATTACCTACATCATCTACATTATCTACATCACCTATATTACCTATAACAGCTTTTTATATACCAAAAATATATCAAGAAATTAAAAATGCTGCTGATGTATATATTATAATAAAAGAAGTAGAAACATTAATATCAATAATACTTAATCTTAGAATTAAGTCTATGAATAATAAAACAGAAGAAGGAGAAATTTTTATGTAAAAAATATGAAGAATATAAGGAAAATTATTTACTAACTCCTAATGAATCTCGATCTTCATCTTCAACTCCATCTGAATCATTAATAATTTTATCCAATTTATAAACCTAAGGATTTTTTTAATATTTGAACAAAATCAACTAAGAGAATCTGATGAAGTTGAAGAATATTTAAAAGAAAATAAGATTCCTTTTAATCAATATTCAGTTAATTGGTGATTATATAATAAAAATAAGTATCCAATTCTTGCTAAAATAGCAAGAATTCATTTAGCTATTTCTGCAATATCAATATTATCAGAAAGGTTATTTGGAAGGGTTTTTAAGAAAATCAGGTTCTGAGAAATTTTTGACTTAAATTAAGAGCTTAATACATTTTAATCTAATAACATCAAAAACTAAAATGCAATAAAAATTTCAATTTTGTTAAAAAATTCCCAGAACCTGATTTTCCTAGCAATCGACCCATATATCTGTAAATATTATAAATATAGATTTATACAATAATTTTATAATTTACTTTTTATTATTAAATAAATTACTAAACCTTTAGGTTTATTTATTTATTAAAAATAAAAATGATAATATACTAATTTATTATTATTATAATTAAAATAAAAATTTAATTATTATTTCTTAAGAATTTTATAATTGATTTAAATTAGTATATTTTATATATACTTTTAAAAAGTACTCAATCAGCTAAAAAATATTATTTATTTTAAGAATTTTTGATGCAAATACAATTAATTTTCTTTGAATTATTTAATATTATTTGATATGTTTTTATAATTTATTATTTATTTAAATAATTTTTTAATTCTTTTTGCATTTAATCTATTATTAGAATTCATTTAAGTGATTGTATCTTTATTAATGATTTAAAAGATATATAATAGTTTAATAAAATTTTCTAATCATTTATAATCTGATTATTTGTTTACATTTAAATTTATTTTAATTTGTGATACTTTTTACATTAAATGTATAATTTAAAAAAAAATAAAATCAAAATTATTTATAATTTTTTTATTAAAACTGATATATCATTTATACATGAATATAAAAATATATATATATTATCAGAGTTTATAAAAAAATTTTATTTAGTTAATATATTTAACTTTGAGAAATATAAGAAAAACTTAATCTGATAAAGAATATTAGAAAATCTTATTAGTTGTATATTAAAAATAAAAGTAAAAAAATCATTATAAATTATTTGATCAACTATAATACAATACTTATTTGGTAGATAATCACATGCATGGTTTCAGCTCTAGCCAAAAGTGTCCTAGACAATAAAGTTAAATAAACTTTTAAGTCCATGAGTTCTAAGAATTGCGAGATGAGAAATTAAGATTAAATTAAAAGTTAAATTAAAAAAGTTAAGATTAGATTATTATTTGTTTGGTTTAATGTATTACCTTTTCATTTTTTCTTTAAATAATATTTTGTAAAACAAATTTTTTTTTTTTATTACTAATGCTATTTATCAAAGTGGTTGTTTTATCAAATTAATATATTGAAATTAATCTGATCACGTTTCCTTTAAAAAAAAGGTGGGCTGATTTCTAAATTTTGTTACAATTTATTTTTTCTGTACGATGGCAAATCACGTGAATGAAATAAATAAATTTTTTACCTTATTTTATTTTCCAAACAAAAATTTCTTTTCTTTTTTTAATCTAAATATTTTAAGAATTCTTCTTACGAAAAAATGTATCATTTACTTAAAAATGTCTTTACAAAAGACGTTAATGTTATTAATGTTATAAACACATCTCGAATTACCACTACTATTGGTTTATTTAATAACCATAATGATCATCTTGGAACGAATCTAATTAAATCCTTTTCTACTTCGGCGTCTTTTGCCGCAGGATCAAATATTAGTGGTATATCAAAGGTAAATAATCATGTCGTGACACTTTTTTTTTTGTGATTTTTTATTTCTTCTAATGAAAATGGTTTTTTTTTTTTTTTTTTGATATGTTTTAAAGGATCATCCGTTATGGAAATTAGGAAATTTAAATCATGTTGCTATAGCAGTACCAAATCTTGATAATGCTGTAAATTTTTACAAGAATATTTTAGGTGTAGAACAAGTTAGTGAGGCTGTGGTAGGTTCTTTTCAATTATCTTTTCTTCATTATATTTTCAATATCTAAATGAAAAGTATTATTTTTAAAAATTAGCCACAACCAGAACATGGAGTATATACAGTATTTGTTAATTTGGGTAATACAAAAATCGAATTATTACACCCATATGGTGAAAAATCTCCCATAAAAAATTTTTTAGAAAAAAATAAAAATGGAGGTATACATCATGTTTGCATTGAAGTTAATGATGTAAGTAAAGCTGTTAAAGACTTATTAGATAAAGGCGTTAGACCATTGGATCCCGAACCAAAAATTGGTGCTCATGGTAATCCAGTTGTGTTTTTGCATCCAAAAGATTGTGGTGGCGTTTTGGTCGAATTAGAACAAGTTGAAAATGAATAGCCTCAAATTTGAAAAATAAATCTCTTTTTATTATTTCAAAATGTATTCTAAATTTATGAACATTTCTAATATTATTATTATAAATTACTAAATTAATTATTACATATTTAAATTTATTATGTTGTATACAAGTATTAATATATCATAATAATTAAAAATTATAGAATTACTATACTTGTCTATGATCCCTTTAAAAAAAAAAAATAATAATTGGTCTATTTCGTTTAACGAAATAAACATGACAAATTTAAATTATTGTTACATATACATTCAATACAAATATTGATATTTACACCATTCTCATTTCTATGCTTTCTTCTTTTAATTTGTTTTTTTGTTTTTGATAATATTTACGAATTGAATCGATCCAAAATACTGATGATGTCAATAAGATAAGCGAAAACATATCTGAATAAGTTAGGGCTTCTGTTTGAAAAATTGCTTGGAAAAATGGAATATAAATAACACACAATTGTCCGATCAATGAACCAAGAACTGCGAAATTAAACATCGTATTTGAAAATAGACCCAATTCCAAAATTGATTTTTTCTCCGAACGACAACTCAAAGCATTAAACATGTCAAATAAGACAAAACATGTGAATGTCTATATTATCATCCACAAATGACATATGTATATATTATATAATTTATGTAAATACAAATTAATAATTGAGAAAGTATAACCTAAACAAATACAATGTAAAAGATTCTTACCATAGTCGTATCCCGAGCTGTGACAATACCGTCGCGCATTTCCTTAACGTATATAAATAATGTACCAGCAACAATAACAGCTGCCGAAGTCAACACCCTCATAATTAATGCCGAAGTAAGTATTGGTGCATTCTTTTTCCTGGGTGGTTGGCGCATTACGTCTTCATCAACAGGCTCAACTCCAAGGGATTGTGCAGGTGGACCATCCATTAATATATCTATAGATGTACGTATGTATGTGTTGTGTTTTAATAACGTTACTTACCGAATTTCGAAAGCTAGTGAAAAAAAAAAAAAGAAAATCTTCAACTTACTTATCCATAAAATCTGCATGGCATTTAAAGGATTTTGTAATCCCGAAATTGTAGAAATCGTTATTAGTGTCAATGCTGCAATGCTAGTGCTCAATTGGAATGTTAAGAAATTTCGGATATTATAATAAATTGATTTTCCTATTAAATATAAAATAAAATTATTAACGATCAAACTTTCGTATATATTAATTAATCAAACGTGTGTGATTTTACCTTCTTTTACTGCGTCTAAAATAGTCGTGAAATCGTCATTTATCAATATTATATCAGCGGCTTCTCTGGAAACATCTGTGCCACTTTTACCCATTGAAATACCTATATCAGCTATTTTTAAAGCTGGTGCATCGTTTACGCCGTCTCCTGTCATGGCCACAATTGCACCATTTGACTGTAGAGCCTGAACTATTGCCATTTTATGTTTAGGTGCTGTTCTTGCAAAAACCGAAATATTACCAATAACATCTTTCAATTGTTCTTCATTCATTTTTTCGATATCACTTCCAGTAAGACAGCTTGACTTTGATGTAGGGTTAACTGGGATTCCCAATTTAATTGCAATTGAAAGTGCAGTTTGGTCTTTTAATTCGAAAATATAAAAATAAAAAGTATTAATTAAATCTTTCAAATAAAATCAAATAAAAAAAGGATCGAAAGTAAAGAAAAAAAAATACCAGAGTCTCCTGTTATCATAACAACTTTAACACCACCGCTAATTAATTGTCGAATGGCGTCATCAACTCCTATATTATAAAGTTATTAACTATTTAATGGTTTGCAAATATTTTTTTTAAGGAAATAATCGCAATAAATATAAGACAAAAACCTTTTCTTGGTGGATCGTACATTGCCACACATCCTACAAAGGTAAGGTTAGTGATGTCAGGTCCAGATGCCATACCAAGGATTCGAAGACCATGAGAAGACATTGATGTGACATGCCGCGTCACCAATTCTTTTGCATAACTATCCAATGGTGGCTTATGCGTCTCAGATACATAATAAGTTACACATCTTGACAAAACTGCTTCAATGGACCCTTTAAAGAAAACTGTATCTATCTGAGATCCTTCATATCTTCCAGTCACTGACATCCATTTTTGATCGGAATTAAAAGGAATTTCGGATTTGCGGCAAAAGTTCTAACATGTTAACAAAAGTTAAAAATGAAATATCTAGTTGTATTTCAGAAAACGTATTTGAACTTAAATACCTTTATATCATCTTCCATATTCATTTTTATTATAACATCAAGTAAAGCGACATCTGTTGCTTGTCCATATTTCTTTCCCCTTTCATCAATGCTAGCATTATTACATACCCCACCTATATTATAATATAATAAATATTTAATATAATTAACAACTATAAATGAATTCTGGCACTAGTTAAATGTCATACCAATTTTAAGAACTTCACGCATAGCAGAACTGGTCTTTGTGGGTAACCCATGTTCCAAATCGAAGATATTTTCCTCGTCTAAAGTAAATATCTTTGTGACGGTCATAACATTTTCAGTTAGGGTACCAGTTTTATCAACACAAATCACATTGACGGATCCAAGAGTTTCTACAGAAGGTAACTTCTTTATAATTGCATGCTTTTTTGCCATTCTTAAAATCCCCAAACCCAAGGTTACGGCGACAACAATTGGAAGTCCTTCAGGAATAGCGGCCACAGCCAAACTTACTATAAATAAAGTAAATAAATTTTGAAGCATTTACATAAAACATAAAGCAGAATATAAATAAAAATAATGACCTCCAATAGTAAACATTTCAAGCCATTCACGTCCTTGGAGAATTCCAATCAAGACAATAACTACAATTATAGCACCGGATAAATAAGATAACGTTTTCCCAAGTTCATTCATACTTAATTGAAATGGTGTTTTTGGTGTCTCAGCCTCCTTGACCATGGAAAACACAACACCAAATTCTGTCTGTGACCCAGTACCAACAACTATACCCTGTCCATGTCCTAGATTAAAACAATGATCTGATGTAAATAAAACCAAATTCACTAAAATCTTAGAATAATACAAAAATAACCTAACCATTTCTGACAAGAGTTCCCATGAATGCAATATTTCTTCGCTCCTGTATTGTTAACTCGCCATGACCATTATCAAAAGGAATCATTTCTGTTATTTTTGAACGTGATTTGGCTTCACCAGTCAAATTAGATTCATCGATTTCCAAACTTGTAGCCTAAAGCGATTAAATTTAATTTATTAAAAGAAGTTTATAAATGATATGAATATATATAATATAATTGTAATTACGGAAATTATCCGAACATCGGCGGGAATTCTGTCTCCGATACCGAAGCGAACCAAGTCACCTGGTACCAAAACAGTCGCCGAAGTAGTAGTCCACGAGTTATCACTGATGAAATTTATAAATTTTAAAAAAAAGTTGTAACCAAATCGAATTAAAATGAAAAATTAAAAAATTATGCTTACCGATTCAGATGACAGAAATGGGGGACTAGTTTATTAAGTGCTTCCAATGACTTTTCAGACCGATACTCTTGTACAAAACCAACTACAAATAATTATTTTTTTTTAGTTTAACAACATATAACGCCGACTTTTTAAAATAATAATAATAATAATCAAAATAATAATCGGGGAAGAAATACCTGTTGTGACAATTAATACCGCCTAATGAATTAATATAAGTTAAATCGTATACTGGAAGTTAATAAATAATTAAAAAGTAGTTAAAAACATTAAAATTTAAAACATTAAAATAAATCGGAAACCTACTAAAAGTACAGAAAAGGCGTCGTTACGGTTTCCCATCACTAAGGAAATAGCTGCCGAACCAAGAAGTAATAAGATAAGTGGGTTCTCTATAAATTGTTTGAAGAATTTAATAATGACTGATTCGCCATCTTCGACTTCAAATTCGTTATAACCACAAGTTTTTTGTTTATAAAGAGCTTCGCTTGTAGTAAGTCCAGTTTCGGTATTCGTGTGAAGTTCGGAAAGGGTTTTCTCAACCGTACATCGAGCAAAATACGCTGAAGGAGTTGATGAACCCATTTTGGTGGAAGATATTTTTGTAAAATAATATCTGATGTAAATTACTTGTCAAAAATGGTGGTTATTTATAAGGATCGTGTTTTTCAGCTTTTTTTGGGAAAGGATCAATGGTACTTTCATTATCGAAATGATTTTATGTGCAAATGAAATAAAATTTCCGACGATCGTGGCGTAGTTCATTTAAATTGCCACGTACGACTTTGTTTTTTTGAAATTCTAGGCTTTTAACAGTATAATTTGGCAAAAGAAAAAAAAAGATAAATCATTCTTTTTATCGAAAATTTTTTTTAAAAACAGAAACTTCCATCCGGCTTATTATTTTTTTTTCTGGCTTAGAAAATTAAAAAAAAAATGCCAGAGAATTAGATAATAAAAATTTTGAGTTTTGACATTAGAAAACAAAATGTTTCTATCAACCCTTGGAAATACGGCTTATTAAGGCTTGGATTAAACTAATCATTTGCTCTATTAAGGATTATTTCATATCATTATGTATTTTATCTTGGCTTAGTGACTTATTACATTAAAAAAAGCGTATTTATTAAGAATGGCGCGTATTTTTTTTTTTTTTTTTGACTTTTCTATCAATAACAACCAATCTTGTAAATTAACAATGAAGTGCGTTTCGTACCAAAAAATAAAAAATACAATAAAACACAAAACAAGTCAAAACTTGCAATAGTATTGATGGGGCAATTTTTTCTAAGAAACTACCTATCTTAGCCACAGAATAAAAATCTGGAAAATTCCTACATGAAAATTTATAGGAACAAAATGATATTGATTACTTCAAATCCTTTTATTTACAAGAAAAAAAAAAAAATCTTTTTTCTTTAAAAAAATTCTTCAAAAGTTTAATCGATATTATCGTTTAGCAAATAATTTGATATGCTCGTTGATGCAAACATATTATTTATACTCGGTATCCTATTAATCTAGTCTGTACATGTAATTTGGCCATAAATACTTCACTAAGTGCATAATTTAAAATGATAGGTTTAACATAGTGCCTATAGAATAAGTCGAAATTCAGTTAAGGACGAACATAAAAAAAAAAATTTCATAAATGAAATCAATCCGTTATGACAATTCATGATAATAAAAAGATACAAAAAGTCGTAAACTTGTTCCAAAGCTAAAGTACTGTCTCCATAATCTTCTATTTTCATGTTTATAGTTACTTCATTTAACATTTGTGCAAAGTTTCGTAAAAACTTAAAAGAAGAAAAATTAGTAAATAAAAATTGCAATAATTTCAATGGTTCATTTAACCTTTACAATGCCAATCGCTCACCGAAATAAATAAAGGGTCGTGTTCAAATCTATACATTAATGGTCCAACTAATGCACATAAATAAAGTAACTGAATATCCGTTTTAATTAATCCTCTTAACAATATGAGTTTGGCGAAGAACTTTTCAACGACTTCAATATTTGAATAATGTAACAGGCTGTGTATGAATGTTAGAAAACTATTAGCTGCATTAGTTCCGAAATTAAGCAGATTAGATTTGTAGTCATTAAAAATATATGGAAACATTGTTGAAAATGGTGTTGAATGAGATAATAATTGTTGTATTAAAGGATCTATTGATGGATCTTTTGTATCACGCCCAGTCTGAGAAGTAAATTAGTTAGCAAGAATGTCAATTAAGAATATGAATAATAAGAATATGATATATCTTACCATATTACAAGGTTGAGAAAATTCTCCAAGATGGGGATCTTCTTGAATTAATATCAACATCTCATCAAACATTTTATATACAAATTCTTCAGTAGGTAAGAATGAATACAATAATCCAATGGCATGTAATACCATAGGTTGTACTGCAACGTTCTTTCCATTCATTAAAATAATATCTAAAGTTGCTTTGATGATGTCCTGTGGACTGGTGGGTATTGCTAATATTTCAACACACGCAATATGTAAAGCTTGAACCACCGGGTTTGGAATTTCTTGAAAATGTCTTTCCGGAAATTTGGTATTTGCTTTCGGTGCACACTTTTGCGGATCCATATCTTTAAATAAATTGATCATTTTAATTCACGTTTAATAGTAAATAAAGGTGTAAAATTTAACTTACTGTCAGCTAATTTATGGAAAACCTTTTCAAAGTATGAAAGTTCAAAGATGACATTTCCTTCATATTGTAATAATTCGGCTACAAAATCGTACTCGTCAAAATCTTTTTTTAAATTAAAAAAAAAAATATCTTAATTAATAATTCTTGTAAAAAAGAAATTGATTTTACTTTGATATTATAAGGTTTACCTAATAATTTGATTAATTTTGAACAAATTATTGGATCTCGAATAGTAGATGCAGAATAATAGTAACACAATAAATCTCTCACAAAAGCTAAAGATGTCTGATGAAACCTATAAAGTTGACCAAACTCATCCAATAATTTCACTAATTTGGCTGTTTCACCAAATTCAATAAATCTTCCAACAACTAGATCTAATATAGGCAAAGATTTTCTTATAGAACTAGTATAATATATTGGCATATTTATAGCTTTCAACGGTGGGTCTAATTTCTTAGCGGCAGTTTCATATCCGTCTGTATATCCTATTCCATCCATTGCATATGCTTCGTATTGAAAATATTCAGGATATCTCTTAAGATATTCCATAAGTTTTTCATGATGATCATCTTCAACCCAATATCTATGATTAAATTTCAATGATAAGAAATAATGAACTCTTTCCGAATATCCTTCAGATTCGAATAGGAGATAATCTAATATTCCCAATACTACACTATTATTTTCTCTCTGTCCTCTTACAAGTGCAAATAGAACATGCTCAAATGCGAGTATCTGATATCTCCATATCAATTCTTCAAGCATTTTATAACACTTTTAAGGAGAGCGTTTTTTTAAAAAGATTTAATAAAATCGAATACTATATTAATTTTTAATAAAATAAAAAGTTATTAACTTTCCTTACCACTTCGACGGGAGGTCCACTGATATCATTTTCTATCTTTTCAATAATAAAATCAACCAATACGACTGTATATGTAGCCATCCTAGAAGGCGGAAATTGTAACAACACCTTTCTTAAGGCTGAATAAATAATAATGTAATTGTTATTAAACGTAAATCAAAAAATATTCTATATAGAAATAATAAATGATAATTACTGCTCATCATATCAGGGTTCAAACTTTTTCTATAGCATCCAATTTTCCATAAAGAACACAAAAATATTGATTGGTTTTCAAGTTTAGAATAATGTTCCTGTAACATAGTCTCATCTTCTGAAGTAAGAGCTCCCATAAATAATTTAAACAAATTCCCTATTTTTAAAGCAGAATCCATCTGTTAAGTAAAAAAGGAAATGTTAGAATTATAATTATAAATGAACTTAACAAAAATATATCAAACCACTTTGCTTACATCTTTATCGGAAATAGAAGGAAAAGTTCCCTTCATCTTCTCTTGTTGTTGTGAAAAGAAAATTCGTAAAGGTTCAGGGAAATAACTTAAAGTGGTGGCAGACCATTCTAAACTATCGGGATAAATACTTGTAAGAATTCCCTGAATCAATTCAGGTGAGATATCATCAAGTCCTCTAAATTTAATTAACCTAGCCAAAGTGAAAATCATGTATCTCGCCAATAATTCAGATTCAGGGAACCAGATAGGTTTATCCCGATTTGGATCAGCAATAGATCTTATGAACTTGACATCTGTTTGTATCATCTAAAAAATAAAATATCATCAATAATTTAATAAAAGATTAATATATCTTTAATAAAAATATAATTTACCATAACATGTATAGCAAACATTTCAACATCGCGATAGGTTTGCCGGTGATCCAAATAAGATACTGAATATTTGATGTGATGTAAAAGATCAGGAGCTTTGGAAGAATATTTCAAGAATCGAAGTAGTCGATGACACAAAAACTGCATAATAGTATGCTGCCATCTGTAAGAGTATTCTGACACCATTGAAGCATTTCCTTCCGTATGCGTCTTTAATGATTTGTCAATTCTCTTAAACTTTGCAAAAATATCCTTAATCATCTGTTCAAGCCTAATTAAATAAAAATTAAAAAATCATCATCTCAGAAGTGTTAGAAAAAACGACTTTATGTATCAAAATTACTTACGACCAGGGAGCACTATATACAATTTTATAAACTACATCCAAAGTATAAGGAGATATACAAGTTATATTATGATCCTTGGCGTCAAAATTGAACGACGGTTCATTTGATCCGTAAAGCATCATTTTATAAATAAGTTGCTCAAGTCTACGAAAACAGATATTTGAATATTATTAACGCTAACCAAGGGATAATACTTAAATATATCCTAATTACCTGTTCTTGTTATGAATATTAATAAAATCCAATAACTTGTGACTAACACTTCCGCCTTGTAGAAATTTTGCTTCTGGAAATCCAAGTTTATCCACATTCATTAATTTATCAGGAACCAAGTGTACATATAAAGTATCAGCAACCATAATAAGTTGACTTAGAATAGCAATCTTTATAATTTCTTGTATAGGCAGATTTTTAAAAAGATCATGTTTTGTGACATTCTCTATAAATTGAATTATAAATTTTAGAAATGAATAAGAAGGGGATAATAGAAGGAAAATCATACAAATACCTTTATATACTTTAAGGAAATACATCTGTAAAGTACGAATCATTGGACTGTAAGCTAAAGCACCAACAAGTTGAGGATGTCTGTATTTTAAGTTACTTCTTTCTTTTAGTGCATTATGTTGATGACTCATCTTCGTATATAAATACGAAAAAGTCAGAATAGAAGGATGAATTTCTAACATATCAATTTTAGGACAGAAGTAATAGAAAACTTACTGCACATTGCAAAGACAAATCCCTTAAATAAAATGCATCTTTTGACATAACTTGTCGGTCATTATATAATTGAATCAGCATGCTGAACAAACTTTCATCATTAGAAAGATCTTGGGCAATAATTTGACTTTTGACCTTTTCGATAGCTA